TCCCCGCTCTCACTCCCCTTCCTTTGTCCTGACCCTGACGCAGGGGTTCATAGGTTCTATTTCTTCCCAGGAGCCCCTGCAAAGAACCCCACTTCCCTGTTTGAAAGCCCCTGCGCTGTTGTGTTTTAGTGGAATGTGTTTTCATTTAAAAACAACTTTGAATGGGGCGCTTTTTTCCTGTTTTAAAAATTGAAAAATTCTTACAGTACAAACAGGGCTGTGGGGGTGGGGGTGTTGGTGCTGTAAGAGGTCACTCTGAGTGCATTTTGGCACTGGGATGGGATGGTTGGAGTCAGAGGACCCCCCCACTCTCTCCCCTTTTTTTCTAATATTTAAGGAGTGTTTTTGTAGGTTTCAACAACAACCACAACTTGAATTTGTACCATGGGAGGTGGGAGGGAATGTCTTAGAGGTGTCTGCCTAAGCTTAAGGCCAACTGTAGAAGTTTTGTTTTCCCTCTTTTTGTACAATAAAGCAAAAAACAAAGGTTTGACTGCTGTCTGGTCACTGGAATCAAGGGCAGGGTGTAGGGGTGACCCAACAGGTTCAATGGGAAAGACTTGAAGTCTGGCTTGTTTGCGCTTCTCTCTAGAACCAGCTTTCTCTTGCTGAAGGCTCCACAGGCAACCTACCTTCACAGTGTTCTGGGTTGTTACTGAGCTTCCGAATCTGTCTGTACACCTTGGGTTGTCAGACCACTAAGGACTCGGAGAATTTGAGGGAACAGGTAACAATATTTTCTCCCAGAGTGCGTTGCCTTGGGAAATTGGGGGTGATGATCAGCTTTGCATGACTAGGGTGAACCCTGATCCTAATAAGGGGTCACTTTATGACTATTCGCCCTAACCATGCAAAGGTTTATCATTGGGAGTTGGGGTAACTCTCCCACCTTGAGCCGTCCGCCTCTCCCAGGGTTAGAGATGACTTTCCTAACTCCACCCAGGGCTCTGATAGGAAGTAGGCTGAACCTAGACGATTCCTCTGAAGTTAAGGAAGATAGCCTTCCTGGGGTGCCTGGGTGGCTCAGTTGGTTAAGTATCCCACTCTTGGTTTTGGCTCAGGTCATGATCTCATGGTTGGTGAGATCAAGCCCTGCGTGGGGCTCCACACTGACAGCACGGAGCCTGCTTGGGATTCTCTCCCCCTGTCTTCTGCCCCTCCCCTGTTCACACTTTCTCTCAAAATAAATAAACTTCAAAAGTTAAAAAAAAAAAGTGAATCCCTGCACAGGCCTTGGCTGGATTCCTGGAGCCACCGACGCTGGAGACCTAGGCCTCATCCAAGAGCTCTCCCTTGGCCCCACACCCTTCTCCTGTTCTTGGTCAAACTGCTAGAAAACTCACTGCCCTTTGTGGTCTCCATTTCCTCACCTCCCCTGGGGTGACTCAATTGACCAGCATGTTCATCATCCCATCTGGTGGACACCTGTCCATCTCTTGACTTCTTGGTCTATTCTGCAGGCATTGGTTCCTCCTCGTTCTATCCTAGGTGTTAATGTCACCCTATGAACCTCCAATTGTCACCCGTAGGTAACCAATCCAAAAGGTGGTATCTCCAGAGACCAGTCTTCCAAGCTGCAAATCTGTGTAGATTTCTGTGTGCCCTCTGGAATATCTGCCAGGCACCTCACCTCAAGACCCAAAATGATCGCCAACCATCTGGTTATTCAATCTAGAAACTAGGGTGTCAGCCTTGACTTCTCTCTCGTTCACCTCCATGTTCATTTGCTCACCTAGCCCTGTCCATTCCACTTCCTGTGTCTCTCTCAAATCTGTCTACCCTTTCGCCATTGCTGTCATCCCCATCCTATTCAAGGCCACCACCATCGCCCAACTTCTGCAAAGACTTCCTAAAACTGGTCTTCCTGCTTATACTCCTGCCCCCTCCGTCCATTCTGCACACAGCTACAAAAGTTATCTTTTAAAAAGAAATCTCATGACCTCTGTACTAACAACTTGCATGACTCTACAAGGCCTGGCCCCTGCTTCCCATCTCCCACCTTCGCTCACCCACAATGATCCAGCCAAGTGTTCTCTTTTGTTCTTCAAACATGCCTACCACAGGGCATTTGTACTTGGTTCTTTCTGCCCCAGATGCCAATCCCTCAATTCTACACATAGCTGGTTTTCTTAACCCTCAGGCTTCAGATTAAATGTCACCTCACCGGCCTTCCCTAACAACCCTTTCTGGTGAGGCCTCCTCCTACATCTTGTTTCCACTATTTGTTTGTTTCTTGTCTATCTCCCCAAGTAAAAGACACTTAACACCTTATCTGCTTGTCCATTACAGTAATCCCAGCACCTTTTAAAGTGCCCTGGCACACAAACTTGACACTCAAGAAACATTTGTCGAATGAGAGACAAAGTATGGCTGACAAGGCCCTGGCAGATCTGCTGCCCCTGCTGCCTGTTGCCTCTGCACCAACCCCAGCTATGCCAGCCATTCAGGTCTCTCCTCCAGGGCCAGTACCCATTCTGCCTATACACATAACCATTCCCTCTGCCCCCATGTTCCTCATCACCTCACTGTGTAGTTAATTCAGGGCTCCCCTTAAAAGATCACTTCTCCCGGGGGGAGGGTCTTCTCTGACCCCTTGACAAAAACATCTTCCTGTCATTTGTCCCCCCCTTTTTTTTAATGCTTTTATTTATTTTTGAGAGACAGAGAGAGATAGAGCATGAGTGGGGGAGGGGCAGAGAGAGAGGGAGACAGAATCGGAAGCAGGCTCCAGGCTCTGAGCTGTCAGCACACAGCCCGAGGCGAGGCTTGAACCCATGAACCACGAGATCACGACGTGAGCCGAAGTTGGATGCTTCACCGCTTAACCAACTGAGCCACCCAGGTGCCCCCAGTTCCTTTTTTTTTTTTTTTTAATGTTTATTTATTTCTGAGAGAGAGAGCAAGCAGGGAAGGGGGCAGAGAGAGGAGACAGAGGATCTAGAGCGGGCTCCTTGCTGAGAGCGGAGAACCCAAGGCGGGGCTCAAACTCATGAATTGTGAGATCATGACCTGAGCCAGAGTCAGATGCTTAACCAACTGAGCCACCCAAGTGCCCATGCCATTTGTTTCTTCAGCAGCCCGATGCCTTCACAGTCTTGTTTCACCCACATCAGGCTTTGCTGGGGTGTAGACTCTACTAGGATAAAGTCTGTGGGTTTCTCTGGCTCGCTGCCCTAATGCCACGCCCTCACCCACGGCCCAGACGAGCACGGTCCTCAGTATTTGCGGACTGCTTGATGCTACCTGGGGAGACCAGGCATGTTCCCAAAGAGGTCACCGCCACAGAGCAGCCCAGGCCAGGGCCTGGATGAACAGAACCATCCAGTTGTAAAGGAGTTGGTGTGAGGATGGCCACGGGTGGGAAAGTGAGGAAGTATTTAGGTAAACAGAGAGGAGACAGGAAGGCTTCTTGGGCATGTGTAAGTTCCTCAGGGCAGATACACTGGGCATATTGAGAGACTAGGAAGCCGATCAGCATCACTGGTGTGGAGAATTCCTGATTCACACTTCGGAGCTTCCTGAAGACTTGGCCTCATTCTTTTGCAAGTTCAATGACCTTCAGAGTCTCCACCAGCTCATCCCACAGCACCTACAACACAAACCAAGTCGAACTTGTCATTCTCCTTATATCCTCGCATCTCCTCCTCAGAGCTTAAAGATGTTTTCAGGGCCTCTTTGTCCTTTACTCCATATACCCCAATTGATAATTATCCACATACCAGAGTGATTCTACTTAAAATTCAAATCTGGTCACGGGCACCTGGGTGGCGTAGTTGGTTAAGCATCCGATTCCTGGCTTCAGCTCAGGTCATGATCTCGCAGTTTGTGGGTTCGAGCCCCGCACCAGGCTCTCTGCTGTCAGCACAGAGCCCACTTTGGATCCTCTGTCTCCCTCGCTGTCTGTCTCTCCCCTGCTTGTGCTCTCTCTCTCTCCTTTCAAAAATAAATAAACATTGAAAAAAATTAAAAGCTGGGCAAATGAGTCCCTCCCCTTGAGGACTCCTCGTGGCCTATAGGGTTTAAGTCCATATTGCTCAACACACCTTTAGTCCTCTATGGTCTGACCTGCTCACCTCCTGCTGCTTCCCCACTCATTCCTGTGTTCCAGCCAGTCCCCAAACTGAGCCATATTCCTGAAGCTTGCTGTTTAGGATGTCTAGTGCCCTCCTAATCTCCCACTACAAAAAGCCTTTACTGACCAACTCTCTTACATCATTTTATCTATCTTTCTGGCCACCCCAGAAAGACAGATGCACCCCTGTGCATCTCTGTTTTTATCACAGTGTTTGGCAATTATTTTCCTACAGTTTTATCCGACAAACTGTGAACTTCTTGAGGAGGCACAACTGTCTTATTTCATCTTTGCATCCCAGCACAGCGCACCGTAAGAATTCTTACAGGACACGTAAGAATAACAGGTAAGATTTATAAAGCACTTACATTGAGCTAAGAGTTTCACATGCACTGACTTGTCAGTCCTCACGACGACCCAATGAGATAGGCACTATCATTATACCCAGTGACAACAGAGGAAACTGAGGCAACAGACAGCTCATTTGTCCAAGTTCATTTTTCAAGTCCACAGATTTAAATTCTAATCTGACTCCTGGTCTGAAACATTTAGGATTATTGTCGCAATAAATGTTTGCTGAAGACTAAACAGCCAGTGACGGTCCCAACCAAGTATATGAAGACTTTCCTCGTTTAATCTCATCTTCCAGGGGGGAGAGAGCTGTCAGACACCAGCTCCAAAACTCCAGACCTAGAGAATAACCCAGATTGAAGCGCTAGTCTGGGTATCGGTGCGGCTAGGAAAGGCCCTTTCCTCCAGAAGGTAATGGGGGACTGTGAGAGCCCGCGGATACGGGCACACCCAGGGGAGTAGCACTGGGTCGGGGGAAGGGTCTGGCTAGTGCCGGGCAGGCTGGCTGAGAGGTGGGGGTCCAGCGTGGGTTCCGGAAGCAGGAAAAGCGAGCAGGTGTGGGATCTAAATTAGGCTGAGGGCGGGGAGGGCGCTCCGCTCAGAAGGGCACAGCTCGGCCTCCGCTCTCAATGGAGGACCCTCATCTCGGGCATTCGTTGGCTCGCAGGCCTGGAGTGGGCTGAGACCCGCCCAGAAACAGGGGAACGGAGGCTCAGACGAGCCCCTTTGGCTCCATAGGTTTTCTGCCCTGAGGTGCTAACAGAGCCCCACTTCAACTCCGGCCTCTTCAGAGAAGTGGCTGCACGCTTCGGGGTAAATGCCGGAGTGGGGGCGCCGGGGCACTACACGGGGCGGGGGGGGGGG